CCGAAAGGTGGGCGCAATAAAAGCGCTAGAGTAATCAAGTACCCCATGTTTAAATACACAACATGATAAGGTGGACTGGACAACATTAAAAAACCAAAGCTATCATTTGGGATGCGACTGATCAGAAATGATGCAATTCAGAGTTGTGTGTGGGACGCCACGTTCCAATTGTTGGAATTAACGAAAACCTAGGTGAATCGAACAATGTAAATGTCGTATCAAGATTCATGTAGCAGCTAGTGAAAAATATCTAGGGCATATGGCAAACCTATTAGTCTATTACCACCACGCTAGCTACCTACCACACTCATCATCTTGCACGTTTAGGGCTTATAGAAAAGCTCGCATGCCAACAATTCATAAGGGGTTCGTTTGCATTGGGATTTGAGAGATGCAAAGGTAGTTTTTTTTATTTTTTTTTCAATTTCTTTTGAGAGTGATGCTTAGACTCGGATGCTTAATATATGATTCAAGATTTACAAATCCTACAAATTAGATTTATTGAGTTGACTACGGTATTAAAAAATAAAAATTCGATACTATATCTCTATTTATCACATTTGTAAGTCTTTTTATTACGGTTGTAATACCCAAAAAATAATAAAAATAATTACCACAACAGTAATAAAAATATTGATACTAGAGTAATAACTTCGATCCTAAAGTAATAAATTCTAATTAATGTGGCCATTTGGTCTTGTTGAAATGTTATACATTGCTTTCACAAGCATTAACACTCTTATCCATTGCTTGCTCGTCACATAACAATCATTCGGGTGGACTTCATTGCCCACGTCAATTAGAAGTTTTTGAACAAGTACATTGATTAGAAGTTTCGTGATGATATTATTTGTTAGACTGTCGCCATCTTTGATAAAGTTATCATCTTGTATCTAGTAATATATCAAAAATTGTTGATACATAAATCTTGATTTGACATTTATACTCCAATTATTTTCTAGCAGCATAGCCAATATTGAGTTATTCAGATGGGTCGACCCAATTCCACATAATTTGAACTCCAGAGAATCCGGATTTGACCTGCATTATCTCAACAAAAAATGTCATTACTACTAGTGACATAAAGAGGATTTATCTGTAATGCATTGATTCTGATAAATCTGTGGTGTTTGTTAACTACAATCCTTGCTATACGTTGTATCTATCATACATCAAGTTTCTATGGAACAAGGCAACATTGGCGGAGTATTCTGTTTGTACATATAAGATAACCATTTTTCGAGAAGAGAGTCTTTAGAAAGTCTTCCCTTGAATTGTTTAATGGAAATGAAATGCTCGTCCAATCATATTCTGCCAAGTAGCCTATATACCTGCCACTCTACCACCTATTTATTTTTTTCAATTGACATCTCATAATGGTGATATGGGAGAAGGGGAAACGAGGAAGAAGACAGGGTTAGAAGCAAAAACAGGTATTAGTTAAAAATATCGCACTTTGCACGGGTTTGTTGCTAGTATTAAAATATGATATACTTAAAGATAAGTCTATTGTACTATTATAGGTAGGGTTGTTAGTCAAACGAGTTCGAGCTGAGTTTAAAAAAATTGTTTCTTAATCGAGCTTAAAAAATTGTTCAAGTTCGACTTGTTTAGGAAACGAGCCGATCCTAAACGAGTCAAAAATAAGTCAAGTCCGAGCCAAACCCGAGTATTTACACATAAACAAGTCGAGTCTATCGAGTTTGAGCCGAGCTTATATGACTTGTTTTTTAAACAAGGTTAAAAACTTGTTCAAATTTGGGCTAGTTTAAAAATCGAACTAAGCTTGAACGAGCTGAATCCAAATTGAACTCAAGTCAAATTCGAATAGCTCAGTTTGATTAACAACCCTAATTATAGGTGGCAAGTTGTAGTAGAACTGAGGAATATCGATACTGAAGTGTGCCTAATAAGAAAATAAGTTACTCGGATTAGGTCCGCAATAAAGAAAAGAATATGAGTATAATGTATAGCGATAGTTAGATTACAATACATATCATAAGTACGAGAGACCCGCAAAAAGGGAAAGATTAAATATGATAATTTCAATTGTTACGCAAATATTTTTTAGCAAAACTTGGAATATAAAATGGATGTCTAATGTCTTCCACCAGCAATGTTGCCTTCATTCTAAAGTCTAAATAGAATATTTACGTATAGCAAGTATTAAAACTCTGCCTGATATGCAACTCCTCTTGTCTTTCTCCATCGATTTGTGGTAGATCTGTACAAGTCTACTAGAGACCTTTCAATATATACTAGAGAAGAAGCCATTGTCACTCCTTGGAAGATCAGAAGCCGTCGTCTTTGAGAAGTTTAGGTATGCTATTGTTCTTCCTCTTCCTCTTGCTTTGGTTCTGTCTTTGGCGCGTTCAAGAGAAACTTTATGTTCGCAGTAGTTGAATTTTAGTATAGATCAAAAATTAAAACTCATTATAATTTAGTTTAACAAAAAAACTTCTAAAAGATTAAGTCAAAATAAAATTTAGAATTTAGGTTTGAAAGTGTAGTCCACCTCACAAATATACATTACACATACATATTTATTAAAGGACAAAAAAAAGTTAACGTTTTAATAAAAAAATATAATAAGTATCTCTCTTCCACAAATTAAAATAAATCAAACACATTTTCTATTTATCTCAAACTCAATTTTGTTCTTGTTTCAATACAAAAACACCAACTAATTAAATTGTCCATTCTCATAAAGGATACACAATAAAAACTAATTAATATAAAAAACAATTCAATAAAGTTGTTATCAGAAAAAATAAAACAAAACAAAACAGTATGTGAGCGTTACATATATATACAAGTTATGGATCATAAAAAATTAAAAAATAATAAAATAATTCAAAAACAAGATAACAAAAAATTATGAATATATACTGATAGTCGATAATCTAATACCACAATTTTCATGAAAAACATACAAAACAAATAAAAAGAACATAAAAATAGTAATGAAATAATATATTATATTCCAAAAAGTGCGGTTCAAGCATGGGACGAGAGAGACAAATAGATGATCATATATGTTTGTTCAAAAATATGTACTTATAGCCATGATGATCTATGTATATTTTCAATTCTTATGAATTTTACCATTGAACAATTACACTCATATAGTATAATTATGAAATAACACATACCTAATGTTTATTATATATTAAATGCCAAAAATTATTTTAAAAAAAAATTGTGCGACACCACGTTATAATATTAAACATCTTTACTATGACAATATCCATTTGTAACAGTCCACGCATTATTTTTGACAAATTTAAAAAATGCATAAAATATAGAGTATCACATATTACCTTTATTCCTTACGCGTTATCCATTAATTAATTTATCTCACTTAATCAGTTTCATAAACCAAGACTCGATAATGAGACGCAAACAAAAACTACAATTGTTACGAGATGTACAAATACTTCGATCATTCGAATGGGAGCAGACATAACAGGCTTAACCATTAAAATAGTCTCCGATAGCCCTAATGTAATTTTTAGTCATTAGATCAGCTTCATGTTTTGAGACCCTTTTGAATAAACCAAGGTTTTTTTTTTTTGCCGAACCTTGATGGGACTAGGAAATTTTATTGATTAAAAATTAAATTACACATAGTTAGGGGGGGACGTATGTACTTACCTCTCGATGCAATCTAATTATAATAATTAAGGAATTAAAAAAATTCTAATGCATGATAATTACATAGAAACAAAATAATAAATAATTCTGAAATGTTGAACTTCCTAAAAATCCTCCAAAAATGATAAATCCTGTCCATATAAAGCTCAATATATTTCAGAAATCTATCTAAAACTTTTTAGAAAGTTCTAAAATAAAACAATATTTTCACAGGCCTATATAATACCTTATATATATAAAGTCCTAAAATATAACAAAATCTTTTAAAAAAAATCTAAAAATAACGATTTCTAACTTTAAAAGTAACAATCTCTCTTAAACTCTTTTTCATTATTTTTCCTCTACTCTTACTACCTATTTCCAACTTTTTCTCTCCCTCAAACTCTCATTGTCTTGCTCCGATTCTTTCTCCTTATCTCTAACTCTCTTGTTGTCTCTTTGAAATTTCATTCAATTTATTCATCTATAAGATCCTGACTTCATAATTACATCCAATTTTTTACCTAACCCCGCCCAATCCCAAAAGCACTAAAATATTGAAAATAAATCATACCGCAACTCTCTATAAAACGTATAATTATAATTAAAAAAATTTATTATCTTCTTAAAATATTAAATGAGGTTTCATGTAAAATTTTCGCTTTAGGCCTCAATTTGCTTTGGGCGGCCCTTGTGTAACAATTGATCTACCATAGTATATTTTGTCAAAAAAAATAATCAGCATTGTAGGTTTCAGACCTCAGCATAATCGAAAACTACTTGACTAATTACAGCTTATAGCCGTTGAAAATTGTTGCCTATATTTCATGTCAAGTCACTCAACAGCATTGCATAATTGCCCCATGATATATACTAATAGCATTGAAATCAGTACCTGCATATGATCTTGAAATCATTTCATGCCAACAACAATTAGAAAATGTAGGATAGGATTACAGCAAACCTCAAGTTTTGTTCAATTTTCAGTACATGTAACCAATTCTTTCAAGTAAGGAGAGTTTAGAGGTCTCTTTAAATTTCACCCAAGCACGGGCAAAAACCTGAACTGTTATTGGAAACAAGAGGTCATCAATCCAATTCATCTAACAGAATCATGTAAGCCTACAATAAATTCTGCTACAAAAGTGCAATCTCTTGCTCGAGATTAATGAGGGACGAGCCATCAAGATACCACATGGGTCATTATAAAACCAATACGCATTATGACCACTTTTATGACATTGATGCAGAAAAAAAAAACTATAGGAAGCACTAAAACCATCAATATTTTATCGAAATAATTAAGAAATAAAACCATAAAAAGCAACAATGCAAGACTTACCAACCCAAGGGTGGGAGGGTTGGGGGTTGTAGAGGACAAATATGCATTGGAGGCCCCCCAACAGTAACAATTGAAGGTTTCATCAATGTCGCTTCGAAATGACAAAATGACAACCATTAGACGCAAAATTAATCCTTCCAAAGTCGAGACTTTTTTGAAAAGACCCAAGCCTTCAATTCTCTGAAACTGGATTCAGCACTACATGAAGCATAGATAGAAGAAAAAGTAAATCAAACCAAAGAATGCTCTCCAAAGGAAATGATATGCTATTACATTAGTAACATTGTCATAACCGTTCAAGCTAAAGCCTTCTAGCTAAAAAGCGTACATGGAGAATTTCTTATAGCTCATATGCAACAAACCAAGAATATAGACACACTTGCCTGGCTGGGTGTAGGACCTTCCACAATTTGTGACGTACTTCAAACACTGCCAAATGTGCTTCTTCCACCTCAGGATCATCATGGACATTGGTAAAACAGGATATTCAAAATGGGCATCCCAATGTCGTTTTCTTATTTGATTCTCAAGCGGGTGAGTGAAGTAAGGTGCGTTGAATGAGTGTTGACTTTTTCAGTCTTGCATGGAGTTTTAGAAAATAGCTCCCGAACCTGATGTCAAACAAAATAATTACCCATGTAAGTTTCGCTATGGTAATAGATAAATAGAAAAGAAAAAAAAATAGTTTTTATATGTGACTTCATAATCATTAATACATGCCATCATGACGAATTCCAAGGTAGAAGTTCAAACTCAATTAATCATTACATTTATCACAGGCAATTACTCAGCACTGATATGCTGCATACGCAAAACATCGGGAGGAATGGACTAAATACACATTTACCAATGGATCCCCAAAAGATAGAATAGGAAACCTGAAATAGAAACCACATTATTGTTTCAATATCCAAATTCTTAAGAGCATTCCCCAAAATTTCTTAGGGTAACTTTGCCAACTTATAATAAAATTGGCCTCTTAGACAGATTGGCTAATTGTCCTCACACATCTCTCTCTCTGTCTCTCTCCCCCCCCCCCCCCTTTTCCCTCTTTTATTGCTTTCTGATATGGTATCAAAGCAGCAAATTCAAATCCTAGCCTCTTCGGAATGTGTAAGTGGGATCAATGTTGCATATTCTCATTTTGTGAAGTAACACCTGTTAATAGTAGGGAGTTGGCGTCTTTCTCAAACAAATCGGTTAACTCTCTCTTCTCTCTGACAGAACAATTGACATTACAATTAAATGACTTACCATTGCTGGGCTATCAAACATCTCGAACAGCTTTCCATATTATTGAGCTAAAACTCTCATGCTTTGATCCTATACCTCGAGCATTTTGCCTCTAGAGTTGGATCATTCCTCCCATCTATTCCAGCATTTGGAATACTGGGTTCCCTTTTTTAATATATTTTATTATTCTATCATGTAAATCTTCTGAGAAGTGACCTTTTTTCTCAAGTAACCTCATTATATCCTCTGCTCCTTCAACATCTCCTTTCCCTTTCAAGTATTCCAGACAAGAAGCCAAAGTGGGAAGGTTTGGTTTCCATCCTGGATGACTTGCCAGAATTGATTTTTTCATCGTCTCCACTGCCTTTTCCATCTGATTGTGCCTTTGATATCCAAGTGCCATACGACTCCAAGTGCTTGCATCAGGCTCCTTCCCACACTCTGTTAGTCTGTTTACAATTGATTCGGCCTTTCCCAAAAGACCCTTCTTGCAATAGGCACTAATCAACAAGTTTGGAACCCGAAGGTCAAAATATTTTTTCTTGGCTTCCCACTCTTCCAATACCTTCTCTGCGCCTTCTAGGTCATCCAACTTCACCAGTGAGCTTATCATACAAAGATAGCTGATGTTGTAAAACTTCCCAATTTTTTTGTGCAGATTCCATATATGATACACCTTATCCTTTTTCCCCATACTAGCATAGAGAGTGAGTAGAATCTCATACGCAGACCTCCTCGTCTTAACCTTGATTAGTTGCTCAGCTTTCTTTAACACTGCCAAGGCCTTTTCTGCAACACCAGCTTTCAAGAACCCGTTAGCTGCCACAACATATGCATTCCAGTCCATTATGACAAATGGATCAGCTTCCATTTTCCTTAAAAGCTTCTCCATTCCTTCTATGTCAGAATTAGCTGCATATGCATTTAACCGGATGTTGAATGTGTATTTATCACATGTGATCCCCTTCTCTTCCATCTCTTGCATTAGGAAGTCTATTTTATCGTGCTTTCCCATCTCAGAATAGAGGTTCAGCATAACGTTATAAGACAATGTTCTAGCATAACCCAACTCCCTCATCTTCTGCATAATTATCTCTGCTTTCTCCAATGATTTTGCCTCAGCATAACTGTTCAAAAGAGCGCCATAAACCTGGAAGACTCTCAATGTGTTTGGAATGTTATCAAAATACACCTCTGCTTGTTCCAGACCATGGACCTTTGATATCAAATCCAACTGAACTGCAACATCTCCAGCTGATATATCAAGGTATTCTATGTCACTCATCCATTTGGATATCTGTGATAAGAGGAAAGCCAGATTCAGGGGCCAGAAAACTGAACTCTAAAGATAGTGGAGAACTTGATAAAAGAAAATAATACGTGACAGATTAATTTACAAGCTTCATTTTACAAACCACAAGCCAGATTCAAGGCCAGAAAACTGAATTCTAAAGGTAGTGGAGAACTTGATACATAACAAAACACGTGATGGATTAACATTGTTAAAAATAAGGTAGCTAAAGAAGCACAATCCAAAGTCTACATTAGGGGAAGATTGGTAAGAGTTAAGAAGTTTTATTTGGTTAAATTATTGGCTGGAACCTGAGGAGATCAACCTGCGCCTTTGATTTTTGGCCACTGGTGGCACAGAATGAACTAATTCGCGACCAACAAGTTTTCCAAAACCGAACTGAATGGAATTGTAAAGAGGTCACAAAAGAATTCCAGTGAAATATGCAAGAAAATTAACTTTCAATAAATAAGATCGAATGTTACAAGATTAGGAGCTGAGAACCCAAGCCAAAAAATTAAAATAAAGAACACCAAAGTCCCAAATTTTATTCACCAAAACACTGCTGAATATCATTTTGGGTTAATTATACACTGAAGGTTCCCAAAGTATAGAGTTTGTCTTGTTTTGGTCCTCAATATTTCAATTGCATCATTTTAGACGCTAAAGTATTAAATATATTTCGATATGGTCTCTCAAGCAGAAAATATTCAAATTGCCAAAAAATTTTTTATCATAAATTTATCACGTAATACCTAAATATGGGTAAAAATATGTAATATTAGTAGCTCTTGACCAAAATTTGAATAGTTCTTTTCACCAAATTATTTTTCTACCCATATTTAGATATTACGTTACAAGTTTATAATCAAAAATCGATAAGCAATCTGAACACAGTCTACTTGAGGGACCACATACAAATATATTCAATATTCGAGTGACTACAATGATGCAATTGAAATATTAAGGACAAAAATAAGATAAACTCCATACTTTGGGACCTCCAATGCAATTAACCCTATCGTTTTTACAGCAGATACACATATTCACATATGCCTTAGTAAGGAAAGTAACATTAACCCTGACATTGGTTGTGCAGTTGCCACCATGCTAGCTAGCTACCACGAGTTTTTTTTAATTTATCGCTTTACAGTATTTTTATATTTTTTATTACCAAAATACCATAATTTCAAATGCGGGTGGAGCCAAATTTTGTCAATATAGTGGAGGCAAACTTTCAAATTGAAAATAAGAATCAAACAAAAATCATTAAAACTTGTTGCGTTTTGGGAACAAATGGTGAGTAGGCCCTCAATGATTAGATTTAGATCGGATTTCGTGTGATCCAAATTCAATCTGAAATCTCCAATCTAAAAGTGATTTCAAAATTCATTTTTAAATTCGATTCGATTTGATTATCTAAAGAATTTTATTTTTAGAGTGCATATTTGAATAAGTTAAATATTAAAAATTTGAACGACTCCGTAAGTGAACTAAAATTGAATTTTAATAAATTATATCTTAATTTCAATAAGTTTCACCAAATAATATTTAATCTCATCATATACCCATACATACATATATATCAATCGAAATGAATTACAATCAGATCAAATTTTAGTACATCCAAATTTAAATTCATGAAATATTATGTAACCAATTCGAACTTAGATGGTTAGTAAAAAATATCAATTTTCCTTACTAGTCGAATTTATAATCAGATCGGAGTCATGTCGAAATTTGATCTATATATTGACAAACCTAACATTTTGATGTATAAAAGAATTCCATTTTTATGTATGAAAGAGGTGGCAAAAGAATTCCAGAGAAAAATGCCAGAAAATTAACTTCTAGTAAATAAGCTCAAATGTTACAAGCTTAGGAGCTGAGAACCCAAGCCAAAAAATTAAAACGAAGAAACACCAAAGTCCTAAATTTTATTCACCAAAACACTTTGTTGAATATCGTTTTTACAGCATATACCCATATGACTTGGTAACTAAATAAATTTCTCAGCTAAGTACTTCCTACATTTAAAAAATAAAGAATCAAATAATTAAAACCAACCATAATTAGGACCTAACAATCTGACCCCAAACTTTTCTGAACTCTAAACCAAATCACCATAGTTGTCAAATCATGTATCAGAAAGCATATCGTTTTTAACAATAATGTATCATATCGTGTATCGTATATCGTAAGATACGCACAATTTTAATTTTTAAATAATTATTAATAAAATATATGTATATACCTTTATAAAAAAGTTATAGACTCAAAATAACATAGTATTTCATTAATATTCACCAACTATTCAAGTTTTCAGCATAGTTCACTAATATCAAAATGCAAAGACCAGTGTTATTTAAGGTGTAAAGCGAACCGAAGCAACCAAGGCTCTTAACGCCTAGGCGAGAAGCGAGAAGCGAGAAGCGAGAAGCGAAGCGACACGCTTTACTGAAACAAAGCGAACAGTTAAAAAAAATATATATTTTAGTTTAATTACTTCTAAACAATCTAAGTTCTAATTTTATATATACTAAATATTTAAATGCAAGTAAAACCATAAACATTTAAATTAAAGCAAACACTAATAATATCTCAAATCTTAATAACAGTCATAACTTAAAAATTTAAATTCAAACAAATACTAGCAATTGTATACATTTTCATATTGACAGGGTAGGACAACAAAAGAAGCAGAATCAGGACAGCAACAAAATTAGCAACAAAAAAAAAAGAAGCAGAATGAGGATAAAAAAAAAACAAAAGCAACACAGTACAGCAAAACCGAAGCAGCAACAGAATCAAAAAAAAAAAATAGAAGCAGAATGAGCTAAAAAAAAAAAACAGAAGCACAATGATCATGACAGGAGCAGAATCAATTGTAAACAATTTCATATGTAATTATATATTGAATAAAAAAAAGCAGAACAGAGGCACATTTCACATGTACTAAAATAATTAAATATGGTATAAGCATATACCACTTTTTGGTACCATTTGTATATATATAAGAAAAGGAAAAAGTATAATCAAGACATATCAGAGACACTTCTTTGTAGAAGAATCTATTATTTACCCTCATTCCTGATACTCCTCCTTCCTTTTTTTATCATAATTGTCATGCAGTCGCCTGACTCTCACATCCCACAAATATTCTAAATGAATTCAGCAACACAAGAAAAAAAAAAGGAATGTGTTTTGTTCGAAACATTGTTTATTAGAAAAAAAAAATTGACCAGCAATAGTCTAAAAAAAAAGTCATTCGTGATTAAAAAATAAAAGAGACTACTAACCTGTAATCAGAAAAAAAAAAAAAGTGAAGCAGAATCGCCTTTTATAATAAAGCGTTCGCTTTCTCGCTTTTTTCGCTTCTTCGTTTTTTCGCTTTTTCGCGTTTTTTTCTCGCTTCGCTCACGTTCGCTTCGCCTGGGGTCCTCCAGGCGAGATAAGCTCGCCTCGCCTCGCCTCGCTTCTCGCCTAGGCGAGCTTTTCAAAACACTGGCAAAGACCTCTAATTCAAACTTCTAATATCAACTATTTAAACAACTTTAATATTAATCAGAAATTTTGAATTTAATTGAAAAACATTAATATTAAACTTTATTTATTTTTTTAAAATTATAACCACTGAAACGACATTGTTTCACTAGTTAGTGATTTAAAAATAAGTCTCAGAATAAAATGATGTCATTTCAACCCAAAAAACAAAAATAAAAAATAAAAAAATAGAATCGTCACGTATTATACGTACCGGGTATATCATATCGTATCGTGTATCGTACGATACAATGCAAAAACAATGCAGAGACACGATACGCATCGTTTTTCAAGTGTATCGTGTATCGTACAATACTAATAACTATGCAAATCACAAATCAATCCCCTTGATATTTGACATTTTATAATCTGATATTATTGACATAAACTACCTCACGGGTTTTGAACAACGATAAGAGCCTCATTGCTCCATAAACATAACCAAATCATTTCAATCCATTAGGCTAAGGTATTGGAAGTACATTCACACTATTTTGTTGATCTAGAAAAAAAAATTGCAAGAATATTTTCCTCAACCTAAATACTTTGCGAAGAGTAAAATGTTTGAAGTAAAACCATTTGAGGTTTTAGTCAACTAAAATGCTCATGCGAACAAAAACCATTACACAAGCACAATTCATCAACACCAATGTTGTTCACTAGAACAATGAAAGCTATTGAGCTAGTATCCTATTCAACACTTGGTTGTATATAAGGAGCGAATTCAAACAGCAATTCATACGCACTGCAGTCCATAAGCTCAATCAACACTATACATATATATAGTAGTACCTCAAGGGCGTCTTTGAAACGTCTGAAATTTCTCAGCTGTTTGATGATCTTCTGAAGCTCTTCTTGCTCGATGGGTTTTCCCTCTACGAGCCAGCGGTCGAGTATTGGAACAACTGATACTTTAGGGTCTGAAGCTGGCAAAAGTCTACGAAACAGAGTGTCCTCTGTCCTTGAGGGTTCGATCGGGGAATTCGTAGAGAACAAACAAACCCTAAAAACCCTAGATAAATTTCTGCATTTACACCATGAATTAGAGTGAATAAGCTTCATCATCGTCCTCACAAGAGAGAGAGAGAGAGAGAGGGGTAATCTGGTTAGGGTTTTGTAGGGTTTAAATGGGAGCAAATCAGCAATGCGTCACCTAATTCAATTGGAAAAATTTCATCTACACCCTCTCTAGTTAAGCATAAATTCAAAGACATCTTCTACCCATTATGAATTTTACTGTCACCCTCTGTCAGGTTTTGTCTGGTTGCGGCGTTAATGGCTAGGGTTAATTGACAAAAAAAACCCTCAGTATTTTATATGTAATATGTATGTATACGTATTTAACCTATACTACTAACTATAGCTATGTTTAGTTAACCCCACTTATTTATTAAACATAACCCAGCCCAAGCGTCTTTGTGCATTCCTTGGTTACTGGTTTGATCTAATGCACGAACAGAGAGAAAGTGAGAGGGGGGAAGAAAAGGGGAAGAAAATTGCTGAGGGCTTGGAAGATCTTTGCGATTCCAAATATTGAATGGTTTGAAGAGTTCCTATCGAAGATTATGTGGTATATATCGAAAAAAATTGTGTTTTTTTATGTATTTTTGTATCTAGGGTTTTGTTTTGTTCATCTTTATGGATTTGGGGGGTTGTGTATATCTTTATCGTCTGAACATAGTTCAGGTTTAGTGACAGAGAACATAATTGAGTAAGGGTTTGAACGTAGTTCATCTTTTTTTTTTTTTTTTTACATTTTTTGTATCTAGGGTTTATATTTTACGGATTTGGGGGTTTTATTCATCTTTTATCCTCATATTGAACATAGTTCAGGATTTTCTACTGCATTCTCCATAGATATTGAGTAAGGGTTTGGATAGACTTGGATTTTTTTTACGTTTTTTGTATCTAGGGTTTATATTTATTTTATGGATTTGGGTGTTTTGTTCATCGTTTATCCTCATAGATCAGGGTTTTCTAATGCATTATCCATAGATATTTAAGCTTATGACAGTGTTGAAATTAGGGTTTCAACTTTTTACGTTTTCTAAAAATCCTTCTTGTTTTGGACATGCTACATAGATGATTTTCTTTATTTTTTTGAATGTGCTATTGTGTTTGAAATTGTTGTAGAAATGGCTACTAAGTTGATTGACTTGTTCATACACTTTGATGGGCAACAGTACATGGCACAGAACGTTGACCCTGATAAATATTGCCATGTGCACCTATTATCAAATGTATTTATGTTCTTTTCATCAGAATTGACTTTTGTGTTCAAAATATATTGTGAATTGCCTAGTTCAAATGACAGAATGTTATTAGATGATGAAAAAGATGTAATGGAGATGTTTAGTAGGCACAATAATAGAAAACACATAAACATACATGTTATTCCACAAGAAATTGGAAACATTGTTGTTAATAGAAACAGTATGGCCAATGTGGAGCATGTGGAGAGTCTGGTCAATGTAAAGAATCAAGGGAATGAAGAAGCTGAAAATAGTGATGATTTTGATTTTGAATCTGATGATGTATATGGAATTAGGTCTAAAGATGAAGCGTATGGAGAAGAGCATGATACCATATATGAAGAGTTTAGGGTAGATACAGATTTAAACAATGATGATGGGTTATTAGACTGCATCTGGGGATGATGATTATGTTAATTCCATCTTTGAGTCAGATGATAATGTGGACAAAGCAAGACACAAAGCTACTGCAAGGACATTTAACATGAACAAATATGGGAAAGAGTTTGAAATACAGCCTGATGAGACAGTGCAGCTAAAGGTTGGTCAACTATTTATGGATATTCATCACTTCAAGGAGATTTTGAAAGAATATGTTGTGCAAGAGGGATTTTAGCTTGTAAGGGATAAAAATGAGAGGAAAAGGATTACATGCCACTGTGGAAATGGGGGCTGCAATTGGACGATCCATGCATCTCCACTTCCTGATGGTGTTACATACAGTATTAAGACATTGAGAGTTCCACACACGTGTTAGAAACAGTTACAATACTAAGGCAACATACAGTTGGCTTGCTAAGAAATTAGAAAATGATACACGTAGTAATCCTAAAATAAAAGTACTTGCTCTTCAAGAAACAATCAATGCTAAGTTGCACATGGAAACAGATTTGCAGAAGTGCTATAGAACAAAGAGGAAAGTATTGGATGACATTGATGGGAATCATGGAGAAGCTTATGAGAAAGTTAGGCAGTATGGAAATGAAATCATTCAAAGTAACCCGGGTAGTCTTGTTGTCATAGAAACTGATGATCAAAATGCAAATGGTAAGAGGCCTTTCAAGAGGATTTTCATAGTTTTTAATGCTCTTAGCAGAGGGTTTATCACTGGATGCAGACCATTCATAGGTCTGGATGGATGTCATTTGAAAGGGCCATATGGTGGTGTTCTATTGTCTGCTATTGCCCTAAATGCTAACAATGGTCTTTTTCCTGTTGCATTTAGTGTAGTGGAGAGTGAGAGGTATGATAGCTGGAATTTCTTCATTGGTCATTTAGCAGAACTCATTGGACACCATGCATCTCCACTTTATTTCATGTCTGATCAACAAAAGGTATGTACTGTTATTACTGCATTTTTTTACTGATATTACTATTTTTTTTGTAATGGTATTACTGTTTGTTTTACTGCTATTACTACATATTTTTAACTGCTATTACTACATTTTTGTTAACTGCTATTACTTCCACATGCATTGACTGGCAGGGACTTGAACATGTGTTGAAGAATAAATTCCCACATGCTGTCATAGAAGGTGTTGTAGGCATTTATTTTGCAACTTTAAGGCAAAATTTCCTGGTGTTTTGCTTAGAAGGTTATTTTGGAAAGCAGCTAGAGCATATAATGAAGAGAACTTCAATGAAACTATGTTAGAGGTGAAGTTCAAATCCCTAGATGCATACCCATGGATGAGTAGACTGTCATCTAGTTGCTGGTCTAGGCATGCATTTGATACCAGAATTAAGAGTGATCATGTGACCAATAATTTAAGTGAATCTTTCAATAGTTGGGTAAGATCATTGAGGTAAAAGTCTATTATTAATTTGTTGGATGGCATTAAGACTAAATTTATGACTAGGATTCAGCAAAGGCATGAAAGGGGCAACAGTTAGGAAGGGTTAGTGACATAAAATGTCAGAAAAAAAAACTTTAAAAAATCATTGCTGAGTCAAGATCATGTTTTTTAGTGCATGCAGGTGGAATGTAGTATGAGATAATGGATAATGGGATAAGATACATAGTGGTGCCATGTAAGCATGCAGCATAGGCAATTGCACACAAGAGGTTGAATATTGAGGAATACTGTGATAATTTCTTCAAGAAAGAGGCATGCTTAAAAGATCATGACCTAATGATACACCCCCTTTGAGACTAGAGAAAATGGCCACATGCAGTTGGTGATATGCTATGTCCTCCCCCTCTCAGAAGACTCCCAGGCAGACCCAAAAAAAATAGGAGGAGGGAAGCAGATGAGGCAGCATCACAAACTAGCTTTGCTAGGAAGTCTTTAAGTGTGAAATGTAAAATTTGCAAAGAGTTTGGTCATAATAAGAGGACATGTCAAAGAGCTCCTATGAGGGCAGAACAGAAAGCTCATGTTAGTGCACAATAGTTAGCTCCTGTGATGGCAGAACAAATAGCTTTTCAAGCAGAATCTAGAATTGGACTAACAAATGAACAGGTAGCAATTCGTTAATTTTTTAGTTACTTAGTTTACAAAATACACAAGCTGCTAATTCACTTTTCCAAACTTATTAGGTATCTGCAACTAGAGAGACTAGTGTAGGCAGAGGAAGAGGAAGGAAGAGTAAGGGCGAGGGAAGAGGAACACCAGCACAGCCTACCTTACCACCACAAAACTAGAACATTAAAGGGACAATAACACAACCTAGTTGTCCACAAGAAAACCAGAACATTGAACGGACAGTGGACATAGGAAGAGGACGAGGCAGAGGAAGGAAAGGTAGGGGCAGAGGCATGGGGGAGACACAAACTGCTGGGATAGAGTAGGAAGATGACGAGGCAGATGACAAACTTTTTTGATTGCTTTTTGTTCCTGGTGTGAATACTTGAATATAATTGGTTTAACATAGGAATAAAGTAGGACTTTTGTGTAGAACATATGGTTTAACGTGTAAATTTTTGTGCAGAATACCTGCAAATGTCACAACAGAATAGTTTGTGACTGCACATGGATGCTAAATATTGTAACTATTATGAATGTATGGAAATGGAGGCAACTAGTCATTCATAGAACTGCAATGCTTAACAGTGATATTACATAGAACTTACATAGAACAACCGGTCATATTACATAGAACAACCGGTCATATTACATAGAACAAAAGCATCATATTTCTAACAACTAGCCATACCAGCACAGCAACAACTTCAAATTTGCACAACAAAAAACCTAAGTCTGCAACTACTTCATTCCAACCAAAAGTTGTAACATGAAAATCACAATTACAACTGTCATCATCTTCTTCATGCATTGTAGGGTGTCCTATATGGACTTCACTCTTGCAGCCAACTTGTTTAATTCAACATTTGTCTCTGTGCTGCGATGTACCATTCCATACCCTTCAGGTTGGCCGATCAGTGGTACAATAGATATCGGATGACACCATGCAAAAATTTTGCAGAACCCTTTTTCACAATTGTAATACAATCTTCCTTTACTAGGCTTATCAGATTCCACTATCTTAGCCACAATTTTTTTTCTCACAAAAACATGGCTTGTAACTATATCTTAGGTCAAACTCCTTCTCCCCTATGTCTCTACCTCCACCAACAGTTGAAGAAGACATGAATCCTACAATAATACATCACAATATACTGACATTTAAACATCTACAAATAAAAAATTTCATGAAAAATTTTAAAAATAAAAATTGCTTGAAAAAAAAATTGATTGAACAATCAATTAAAAAATTTAAAACTCTTTGCATGACAAAAATTTTGAGTAAAAAAATTGCATGAACAAATATTAAAAAAAAATCATATGAAAAATTTTTAAAATAAAAATTGCT